AGGAAGAAACACTGCACCGCAGAAAGAAGAGACAAGAACTCCATCTGAGGTGCGCTCCACTTAAAAGAGAACAAAGGGAATACATCAGCAGGATAAATATTAACAGGGGGCTACAGATCAAAACCATGAGCAGGGCAGAGCTCACACAGCAAGGTCAGATTAAAGGCACTGTAGGCCCATGTCGGGCATCCTGATTTGAGTCCTGTTGCGAGAAGCAGAGCCTGGCTGTACCAAAACTTGGTCAAGCCCAAGGGCGTCTGCACCAAGCCCAACGTGGGAGAGGAGATGCTGACCACCAAGCCCAGTGGAGAAGAGGAAGAGGAGGCAGCCATGAGCCTGGGTTGCTTTCACCCTCCCCCTATTCCCAGTCGGGAAGTTACAAACTGGGGCTTTCCCTCTGTATGAATGGGACTCGCTGCCAACCCTGAGGATGAGGAATGAGTACCATGCCCTGTCCCCAAGGGAGAAGAAACCAAAGGGGCCGAGTGCCTTGTTCTGCCTAGGGAATTGCATTGCTTTACTCCAGTTGCCCGTGATTGCTGGTCCCAGTAAACCCCATGCTCTGAAAACTTCAGCAGGCTCCTGACCCTCATCTGTCCAGAAGCACCTTGCGCAGACACAGCCCAGCAAGTGCCTGCCAGCAACCCTCCCTCGGCAGGGCCCAGTCACCCACCGGGGGACTCCAGGGAAGCGGGAGACGGGTCGAGGCAATACTGCGAGTTACCTTGTAAGCGACGCTGCATCCAGGAGGGATAACACTGATCGATCCTCGCCTAGCTGCTTAACATGGTACAAATTACTTTTTAATTGCAATTGGAGAAACTGGCTTATCTAGGAAGTCTACAGGCCATCTGTTAGAAAACTGAACAGCCTACTGTCTCCTTCTCTTCCTTGGGGCAAAATCTTTTCCTCCTTGGCATCCGCTGGAAAAGGCAAACAGTTTTCTGCAGCGCAGGCTTCCCCTCCCCCACCTGATCCAGAGACTTTATCCACCACTGCTCCAGACACCCTCTGGGTTCCTCATCCTCACACCGAAGAGCACCTCAGACACACTCCCAGCCCCCGTGAAGCAGATAGTCCTTGGCTGAGCTGGAAGAAATCCCCACCCTGCTTTGCAAACAGCTACGGAAAGGCCCCATGTGCCTCCTCCCTGGGCTGTAAGGTGCTCCCTGATAGCTTTGTACTGCCAAAGCACCTTAAAAGGATTCTCAAGACTGTAAGGAAGGAAAAGGCAAGTCTGGAAACCTCCCCCCTGCCCCTCCCTGGGCATTCACAAGATAGTTGTGTTTCGGCTGTAGCCCAATGGACCCGAACTTCACCGGCGGGGAGATAGGGCTGCAGGAGGTACAGCTGCAGAGGCACCATCACTGAGCCTCAAACTACCCAACCACCCCATCTTCTCTCGTGGTACCTGTGCTGGGCATCACACCGGCGTGGAAGGACCGCGGAACTTCAGTTACTTCACGGTAAGCAGCACAAGGCTATACCGGGTATTTTGGGGCATCAGTCCTTCTTGGAGGATCACTCGTCGTGCCATCGCTCACATCCCACTCCTTCAGCATCTCTTGGTTTTCGGTACACTATGTCTCTCCCTTTGTCAACCATCTCTACCTCTTCCTCCCAGCCACATCTCCTCTCTCCCACTCTTGCAAGCAAGGCAAGCTCCAGGTTCAGACCTGAGGCCCCTGCATGTGCCAGCTCTGCAGGGAGCCCCAGCGAAGACAAACTGAGAGCTATAAATAGATGCCCCTCGCCGCACCCCCACGGGGCTGGGCAGAGGATGTGCGTGATTGCACAGCTCCAGGCTCGGAGTGGAGGCCAGCGCTGTCCACAGAAACCCTCTTGGTGGGAGATTTTCTTATCCTGCAAGGTTGGCCATGACAACAGATGTCTCCATGCCCTCGGGCTCCATTTCTGTTCCTCTTCTGACTTAATAACCAATCTGCCCCATGTTTTCCCAGGGGAAGCGCAGGTTATCCACTGGCAGTTCCGGCCTCTCCCACTCTGAGTCCTGTAACACTACGCAGCTACAGCTTCCCCAAGCCCAGACTGCATTTTGGTGGTCATGTGGCCAAACAAAAGACTCAGCTCTGTCCCTAAGAGCAAGCCAGCCCCAGCTCAATTGGCAGAGACAGGGAGAAACTGCCCATCACTCACATAAGACCGACCGACCGACAGTCGTGTCGCCAGTGCTACAGGGTGTTCCTGCAGAAGGAGGGGTCTGGCAGCCACCTTCCCCCCCACCTTCCCTCTTCTAACCTAGCCTGCAGCATGCTGACAAAGTGCTGTCAAGACCACAGGGACCCCTCGCCAGCGGGGGTGTCCTCAGCCACCTCCCAGATGCGGGAGCAGCAGCGAGGCACAAGATCCCCCTCACCCTGAGCTCGGCTCTGCAGAACCGGGCACTGCCGAGCAGCCTCAGCGCGGGTTTGCTTCAGCCTGTGCCGGCAGCATCCTGGTAGGAAGAGGAGCTCTGGCATGGGAGCTATTAGAGTGGGTGGCAGCAGATGGTGACAACAGAGGGGATAAGAAAATAAATACAAAGAGGCTATCTTGAGGGGAGAAGTCGCCACATCAACACTCTGTTGCTTACAGTCTCTTTTCCCAAAGCCCAAACAAACATTGCTCGGTTCCCGGCGCACGAGGAGACGGCTCTGCCGAAAGCGGGGACAGGCCCCCGTGCTCACTCAGCACCCCGCTGTGCCAAGAGAGGCTGCAGCCCCACGCCTCACTCAGCCCTTCGTTCTGCAGCCCAGGGCTTTCAGGGGGTCTGTCTCATACAGAGCAGGGGAACCAAGGCCGCCAAGGCAGCCTGCACATCCTGCTTCCCAGTTACCCGCAGTTTAGGCCAGTCCATCTTTCCATTAGCCTGTGTGTGGGCTCAGTATCACCCTGTCTGTCCTCTCTACGGTCACCAAAGCAGGGCTGCGTGGTGCTAATGGACGTTCTCACCTGACATCTTCAAAAAAGCAAGTAGAAAATATTCCAGAGGGAAATGGGGAGAGCCAGTGCTGGGTCTACAGTGACTGCCCAGGAAAACCGATGTCAGGAAAACCTTGTTATCACTGAATCACCAGCAGCACAGCAGCTAACCCGAAGCAAAGCAAGCCCTTTCACAGACCTCACATAACCTTGGACAGCAGGAGCCCATCTCCTGCTGACTATCACCCCAGGCTATTCGATTAACCCCTAAGTCCGGAGCCTGCAGCAGGACCATTTCTGCTTCTCGGGCCACCAGTGGCAGTGGGAAAGGTCTTTCCCTCTGATACTCCACCTGGTAGCAGCCCTGGACAGACCTCCAAGGCATGAAAGCCCAGACTTGGGGAAAACAGGTCCAGCTGGAAGTGGGGAGAGCCTGGCTCACCAGGCTTCCCCATAATACACAAACACACCGAGGACAACTCATTGCCAGCCAAGAGCCCACGAAACCCACAGCCCTTGTCAAAACCTCCCATCTGAGGCTGCCAGAGTGCTCCGTGAGGGGAAATCAGAGGTGAAAGCAGTCTTTAAACATGCAATGCCTGGTTCGGGCAAAGGCAATTTATTATGTTAAGCACATTATTAAAGGATCTAAAGTAACAGAGCAGAGATGTTCCAAGAAAGGTTTTAACTTCCCCAGCAAGGGGCTCCTGGGAGTCCTCTTGTTAATACTTTGCATGGGGCTGTCTTCAGCTGAGCCTACGGTGAACATAAATGCCCCCTCAGCCCCCTTCCAGAACTCGTTTCAGTTAAATCAATACAGCCATCGGGGAGACTTGAGGAAGCAAAGCTATTAGTGGGACCGCAGTTAATTCTGGGGGAAAGAAACAACCAACAAAAGCAATAAAACTGATGGATGGCCTATGCAGACACAGTAACCCTTCCCTGTCTGGGTCCTGCAGCATGGCAGCCCATCAGAGAGGAGGATGCTCGCTGAGGAAACCCTTCTTCCCCAGATTTTGCATGGTCTCTGCTTGGGATCAAAGTACTCCTGGACAGGTGCAGGCCAGAGGCCATGGCAGAGAGATGGAAAGAGGCAACAAGGCTGCTCTGAGGAACAGAGAGTGCAATTTCAGGCTACTGCTATGTCACCGGAGTCCCATCAGCACGCAAGAGCTCAGGAAGGCTCGTTCCCAATCTCCCTTGGGAGCGGGACCTTCGGGGAATGGGGCAGCACCCAGTGACTCCCAGTTTGGGTGGGAATCGTGATCCAGCAGCCGAGCAGGAGAGCTCAGAGCAGTGCAGGGACATCACCTCAGCAGCCCTCATGGCACAGAGTTGCTAGCACCTGAGAGGTGCCACAGCAACGCACAAAGAAACCAGACAGGCCCATGTCTCCCTCATCTCACCAAGAAAGCTCACATCTCACACATCTCCCCATCGCTTCTACCTCCTTACATCATGCTAAACATATGCCATAAGCTCTGGGAGGGAAGGTGATTACTATGGTTTTGCTTTCTAAAGCACCTTAAACACCTGTGGATGGCTGGGGTGAATCTCAGCAGCAGTAGCTGGGATGGCAGTGGGTTAAAAGCAGCCCAGGAGACAGCAGAGCCTGCTGATTGCCTGGTGCCCAGACCAGCACCCAGAGAAGAGCTTGCCAGCCAACAGTTACACAGGAAACAACTGAGATGTCGAGACAGAGCCTCTGTGGCAAAGCCCATTGACTAAAAAGCAACACCAACGCGAGCTGAAAGTCCCACAACCTGGTAGTATCATCATTTCTGAAACCGTAATGCCTATAAAAGTAGCAGAAATAAGTTTAATCATATTTGCTCCATCTACAGGCCTGTCACTGTAATGTCACAGAAGACCACAGTCAGAGACTTGTGCCTCTCATCTCACAAAATATCAGGCAACAGGATACCGTGGACTCAAAATGGGGAAACCAGCAACAGCCCAACTCTGGCACTGAACCAGCCTCTCCTCCCAGCAGAACCAGACTTAAGAAGTCATTGGTGCAGCCTCTCATTTCTAAAGCTACACAGCTGTGGAAAACATCATCTCTCCACCCAACTGACCTCCAAGCCCGGGCCTCAGGCGGTTGTCATATCCATCCAACAGCCTGTCCAGGATGCGGGTGAAAATGGTGATGTTATCTTTGCTGTCATCGACGATGTCTGAAACATGCTTCTGAGAAAGCCTGGCACACGGGGGAGAAAAAGAGGAAAAAACCATCATCAGAAGAGAAACCTGCCCTTTACATGCTCCGGACAGTTACTGGGAATGAAGGGGTGTTGGCTCATGCTCCAGATGTGCCGCAGCAGGCTCTGAACTGGAGGAAGGGGCAGGCCTGTTGGTAAGGTGATGTGCTTGCAGGACTCTCCCCCATAGGGCATCTCAAATCAACACCCCCCGGCCTCGGCCACCGCAGCTGAGGCACTCTGCCCCACCCTCCCCACCCTTCCATGCTTGGGGCCAACAGCATCATGGGTAGTGGTTTAGGAACCCAGTTTTTCAGGGAGCCTTCCCTTGCCCCAGCATCCCTCACCTGCCCTAAGAAAGGGCATTTTATGAACAGGGGCTGTGAGAACATCAGTTTCCCAAGTGCCGGTATCTTTTTATAGGCAGCATGGAAGAAGTGATGCCAGATATTTACCATATCAAGCCATTTCCAAATTCTCTGCTCCTGAGAAGAAAGAAGGGAGGCAGAAAAGTAGGAATTCAGTAATGCAAGCTTGAAGCCTGAGTCCATCATTAAAACTGTTCATGAACCATTTCTGCGGTTTGTTGAACTTTCCCTGTTTATAAAACCAAATGAGTTTTCACCTTCCTATCTCTGCTCAACGCAACAAGCCTGGAAGCCCCTAAATCAGATGATTTCCTCAGGGTATTTTCTGCCCCAGGTAGAACAAAATAAGCAGTAAATTTTTCAAACAAAGCTCATCTCACCAAACAAAATCTTCAATGCAGTTTTGCAAGCCCAAGGGGCTCAAATAATACATTTGCATTTTGTGTATCCCTTTCAATCAACAGAAAAGGAGCCGGTGAATCCTTCTGAAACTAGCCATCTCTAAAAGAGATTTCAGACAACAGAGGGTACAGGTGCTGTGGCTCCAAGCACAGCTCTCCCCAGCAGCTGTTAGGACCAAAGCAAATGGAAAGGAGGAAGATTAAGTAACAGAAAACTAAAAGAAAAATCTATAGAGATGCAAGGAAGATGGAAGAGGAAATAAAAGAGACACCAATGAAGCCAAAAAAAGATTAAGAGGCACAGACAGACAGCAGGATGGCTGAGGAAGCCCAGCCAGGCAGGGGAGGAAAGGCTGCTGGTGCAGAGGGATCCCCAGTAGCAGCACCTGGAGGCCCTTGGGAGCGGGGCAGCTCCCACTGGGAAATCAGCCCCATGCCACTAACCAGAGAGAGAAGTGACTGGGGAGCACTGCCCAGGTGGAGGCGATGAATGCAGCAAGCAAAAAGGCACTGGTGGTGCAAGACGTGGGTGCAATTGCCAGGGAGAGCACCTACGACACTCTGAAGCAGGGTCCTGCTCCCCACAGCTGGGGGAAGAGAAGCCTCTAAATTGTTGCTTTCTAACACTGTTGCCCTTTCCTTCTCCTCCCCAGCCCCACTTTCTCTTGCTCCAGTTGATGCATGCAGCCACTGGTTTAAGCATGCATCAGAAATAACCGAGGGGGGGAAAAAATCCTGAAAGAGGAATATCATTTAAGGAGTTCAAAGCTTAATCCTGCTGCCTCCCATCTGATTAGACTCGTTGCCCCTGACACTACTGGTCCGGTTGTAAATACCCTGTGAAGGGTCAGTAGGGTGCCAAGTAGGGTGCCAAGTAGCAGAGCTGGCTTGGAGTTTTCTATCAAAATGCTCTCCCAACAGAAAACCCAGCTTCTGTAAGATAAAAGAAGAGCAAAAAAGTATTTTCTAGCAAAAGAGGAAAAAAATGAGAGCAGTGTCTGGGTATTTTTAGAGTCAGACTCAATCAATACTATTCAGCATGCTGCAGCTAATTGAAATATTCCATTTTGGGCAAATTGACATTAATTTGCGTCGGCATCAATGGCCAAATTCTGTGGGAAATTGCATTTCAAGTGCCTGAGGTTTGCTTCTCCAGGGATCGGATCGCACTTCTCATAAGGCCGCTTGCCCTCTGGTCTTTAGCAAACCAATACCTGCTGTCGTGGGAGAAGTGGTCAAGACAGGAAGCTCAGCCTACAGGAGCCCAACGAGGGTAATAAAGTGCTTAAACTGCAGTTCCCATAGGGTATGGGGGGTGAGGCACGGTCAGGAAAACGCCCATCCCAGCCCTAAAGCAACCTGTCAGATCCGACACATCAAAATACTGCTGATACTGGGAACTGCAGCACAGCCTTCAAGTCTTCCCATTGGAATCAAAACACTGGTTTTGGCTTTTCATCTGGACTTGAAATATTTGAAATAGCTGAACTCCCTGCAGATAAGTAGAATTTTGAGGAATTTAACAAATGTCTACTGTAATTAGTGAGGTTTCAATTGTACCAGCTTTCAATAGATGTCATGGTTAAAAGCAATCTGTACCAGTGTCTGCTGATGGGTATATAACCATCTATAACTTATGAATAGCTAGCATGCTCAGGAAAGCTCCCTCATTAATGTTTTATAAGCTATCTTTAAAAATTACCCGTAATATAAAGAGCGAGAGGACAGATTTTTGTGAAGGAACCCCTGGCGGAGGCTCAGCGGTGATGGGAAAAATGAGTTTACAAATTTCAAAGCCGTTTTGCTTCGCCTGACGTTTGAGGTTTCGACTTCAATGTGAGCAGCGTGGGATTCACTGAAGAGGCGCGGGGGAAGGGCGGCGCAGGCTGGGGAGAGCCAGCGGCACCTCTGCCTGGCACCCCGTTTGGGCTAATTCCCCAGTCCAGCCCAGCCTCACCCAGCCCTAACACAGAGCTAAAGCTGCCCTTCAGCAAGATGTAAAAACAGGGTTTGTCTCTCCCTCTCAAAACCCCAGTGAAGAACTCTGAGGAACTGCAAAGAGGTATGGGGATCATGGTTTTAAAATAATTAAAAGCCTTTTTTATACGCGCGCGCGGCAGCGGCAGCAGTACTGAGCGGGATGGGAGCTGAAGGGCAGCGTGGGGAGGGCAGACACTGCTGACAGCCCCCCCGGCCGGCACGGGGATGGGGACCCAGTCCCAGCGGG